CACGGGTTCTCCATTGACTCGGAGTCTAGCTGTTTGAGAAAAACGACAGGCCTGAATTTGAACCTCAGCCCCTCAAATTGATCCACGTGATCTGGCTGAGAAAGGGTCAATCCCCCCCCAAAAAAAAACCGTACAGACCCTAGGTCCCAGTACAACCGGGTATCAACATGTTGGGTAAACGGGGGGGTTGCCCGTGAAGCGTTCCATGCCAAGGGCTAGAAAACCAGGCGTTTTACATTTTTTTTGGCGTTTCGGGCCAGTCAAGTCATCGGTTTTGTGACTCATGAACTCCAAGACGATCAGCTGAGTTGAGTTTTAAGAAACTCAAATTAGCCTCTCAAGCAACCATGCACGCCTTTTCTGGTCCGTCGTCGATCCACTCCATGACACAGGTGGACTACCGCATACCACGACCGGACCGCCGGACCGCCGGACCGCGAGCGAACCGAGGCAGCGACATCGTGTGCGTGGACTTGATGATCCGAACCATCCAGGCTCCGCTTCGACCGCCGAGAAGTCGGACGAAAGAAGAGACGCAGTCGAACGGATGAAGGGTCCGGTGGACCAGCGATGTGCGGGCCCAAGAGAGTTTTGCGTTCAATGGAATGTGAGGGAGCTAGGGGGGTGGTCCGTACTTGGCCTGGCAGGTAGCTAAGGAACTGCAGGGAGTTTCCTTTTCTCAGATGCCACAGCTGAGATGATGTTCCCAGGCGCTGTCAAGTTCTGTTTGTTTCCACAATTTCTGGCCGGATATGCCCTAAACATGCCCTAAACATACTCAGGTAGGACACTCCTTCTAACGACACTGTTGCAGCAACTGGAAGAAGGTTGGAGAGGGGATGGCGGTCGATCTAACGACCTGGCAAAGAGCCACCTTGCCTTGCGAAGAGGTAGCTGGATGGTCCATAGACGCTCAGACTGCGAGTAAGGTGGACCTTGCTCAGGGTCCTCTGTTGAGGTCCAACGAGGATCCAAGTTGTTTGTGGCACTGTTGTCAAGACTCAAGACTTCTCAAGACGACTCAAGACTCCTTTTTTGTAGCCAAGATGGTTTGTACACGGTTCCAAGCACGTGACTAGACTACCCTTGGTTGTTCATGCGTATCCAATCAATCCAGTGGCTAATCAATCACCTGACCCTTTCAATGCCACATGACCAAGGTGCAGGTGGGCGACACCTTCCAGCTCGTCAAAGCCATGGCCGAGCAGATGGGTCTCCAAACACCATGCTAAGTGAGCAATGTTTTCGTTTTCATGCAATGAACTTCTGGGAGCTGAACTGCAGGATGCTGAGCTGTGCTTGGAGATCTACTATAATAGGATTCATTTCTGTGAGCTCCAATCTAGGATAGTAGATCTCTGGCTGATAAAGCAAACGACCACATATGAATGAATGGCCCTCATCACTACCGGTTTCATTTTAGGGACATGGGCAAACTTGGGGCTTGATCCTGTTCAAAAGTTCGTGAACTTCGTGCACATGTTGACCAACTGGGAGGCCACTGGCGATAGAACCCCGAAGTGATGATAGCTTGTTGAAACCAGTGGATAGAGACTGTCACTGTCACTTCCCACCCAAATGGGTGGTCACGTTGCCTCTCCCCCATGGCCATTTTACCGTCCTACGGCGTGGGGCGGCGACGGGTTGAAAACGGTCACAACATGGTCACAGCTATTGTTGAGGTCAATTGATGTTGGGCAGGACAGATTCGTCTGACATTGAGGTAAGATCCAATATGTCCTTTTCTTTCCGGATGTTTGACTGTCGAAGCGAAGCCACATAGGCTAAGACAACAGCGTGTGCCGAATTGCACCCAGGAGTTGATTTCTGGCTTCTTAGTGTCTGCAGATCTTCAAAAGACCTGCAGCATTCCAATGGACCAACAGGGCTTCAAGACTCGTGGTCAAGCCTCGACTCCAAACAGTGGGCAGCTTCAGTTGGCTCGACCCAATCGATCCACAAGCCATCACTTTGACTTCCTGTTGCCCTTTGTGAAAGTGTTTCTACCAACATCTACCAAAGCAGAACGTGGCTGCCCATTTTGCTTAGATGCATTTTGCGGTAGCTTTTCCACCTTCTCTGCAGACGTTGTTGTAGTTGAACTGCGAGTAACACAACGTTTTACACCATCCATTTGCTGCTTTCTTGACGACTTGGCTTGGCCCGTGGTTTTGCTTTGCGCCATTTAAGGATGCCTGAAAGGTGTGGATTGGGCCAAAAGACGTTGGATCCAGTGATCGCCATAGCCTTTGATCATTCACGGGCGACTTCGAGAAAACCACCCATTAGCAGTATATGTTGATCTTTTTAGGATGATTTTCGCAGCTAGACGATGAGTGGCATAGTCAACAGGTGACTCATGCTCATTTACAGGTGACTCACTTTCCACAGTTCCCTCAGCCGTGATCTGAGTCCATCCTATTGAATCACTTAGCTCCTTCAAAGGGCCCCGCGCAACCGACCTCCCCGGAACTCGCCACTGAAGAACACGTTTCCGGGTTGGGTGGGGGGAAGCTGCCAGGGGGATCTGCCAAAACAAAGTGCCTGGTTGGAGTGAACAGGCCTTTTTCAAGAGCCGAAGAGTGAACCGCGACCAAAGAAACCGGCCTTCCAAGACCTGAAGGTGACGGAAAAACACATCCTCTGAGCTCAACAAACGACCATCGTGCAGTAGGAGATGGCGACCTGCCTGCTGATTTGTTCCACAATGGTCTCCAGACTGGTAAATAGACGATTGTGGGGGCGCATGTGGGAGATGGCCGGGTTTGACGGAATCATGGCGGGTTTCATGTGAAGTCACGCCTGGTGACGGGACCGTGTGACGAACCTCACCGCCGTTCCGGTGGAACCGCGGTGGTTGGTCTCGTCCAAGGGCTGCAAGGGGAGCCGTCCTCCCGAGGGGAGGTCGCCAAGTTACGGTATCACGTTCATTTTCCTCTCCCCAAGCCAAACAGGGTTTCGGAGCGTTCGGGAGTTTCCCCAACCCCCACAGCTAGTTCAGGATCCTGTGTAATTGGCCTTCTAACCCTTTCATCGCAAAACCTTCCGTTGAAACGGCGAAACCGCGAAACGTATTCTTTTTCTTTCTCCGCGCGAGAGAAAGAGCCTGGCGCGCCTGGAGAAACATTCGTGCACTGCAGTGTGCTATAGGATCAGGTTGCAAGGTGGTCTTCTCGAGTAATAACATGTTACATCATGTTACACAGTGTGACGCACGGCTGTATATGCCAATATGGCTACCCCCGCAGCTCACCCCCATTTTGGCGAGAGCCATTATATAACCGCAAAGAAACAGACGCAAAAGAATGCCTACTGTACAAGTCCAGCCGCATTAAAGCCTGTTTGGCTACAATAAAACAAAGTGAAATGGTTCAGACTGTGGTGATGGCATGGATAGGGCAAAACTCATGAAGTTAAGAGGGTAAATCCACGAAAGGGTTAAGATCCCCTCGGCAGACGCACATGTGCCCTCGGTCAACCGGCAGCATTGCACTGAATTGGCTTTCCTGCAAGCTGTACCGCATGTTGACTTGGGCACATGCCAGATCTTCGAACTAAACGCGGGGGTGCAGTCGCACTGCGCTCACATTGAAGGCCCCCAAAAGCATGGAACCTCCTCTGGATCCGTGGTCCATTCTCCATTTTCATCCCTTACAAGTCCAAGGGCCAAGTTAAACCTGGTACTTCAACTGGTTTTGCATGACCGGACCCAGTCAAATGAGGTCCAGGACTCCACGTCCTTGTCACTCCTGGTCCGTCCCTGCCAAAACGCGCGTCCGTCGGTCTGACCGGTCCTCTCTGTCCGGTCGGCGACAACGCGGGGCGTCGACGTCCTCTGAGAGGCTTGCTGGATACGGACTTGGTTCGGGGCCCAGAGGAGCCTAAGAGGAGCGATGTGTGGGCCAGTTGGTGTGGCGGTGGGAGAGGTACATGTTCTGGCAAAGAACAAAAGAACATGGAAGACAGTTGAAGGGTTGCTGGATTTGCTTCAATGTCTTTTCATGTCTTTTCTGCCATCAGTAGCCTGTGGCTCCTGCATGTGGATGTATTTGTGTCTGAAAAGAACTCAACTCTTCAGCAGCTTGGCTTGATAGCCCCCCAAACAAGATGGAAGAGTGGCTTCCCTTCAATCAGAAACGGTCTCACTCCACTGACCCAAAACCATGAACACGTCCGCAACCGCCAACCATTCACAACACAAAAGCACACGGAAGGGCATTCCTCGCGCCAAGGGGAGCCTGGGCGAGAGTGCCGGACAGGCCACGCGGGCCCATGCGGGCGTTTCGTGTCGCAACACGACGTGGCACCACCCCGGACTCCCGCGGACGCGTGTTGGATGGTGGAAGAACCCACAACATCCCCGAAACCCCCGAACCGCGGAGAACGCGGTGGATTCGATGGGCGGCCTGGAATTGGGGGACTGGCGGTGTCCACGAGCGCAACAACTGGGTGAAGAAGCCCCATATTGAGATGGAATCTGGAACTCTGCGACCATGTTCAGTTGGTGAATTGACAGGATTTGTGCCCAACAGATTCAATCTTGCCTTGCAGTGGAGACGGAATCATGCAACGAGACCATGTTCCGCTATCAGATATCATCTTTTTGGAAGGGGTTCCGTTCCGTTCGATGCTTCATTTTCTATCTAGGAGATGTCCTGCAGGTATGATATATATTATATTATGTATGTAAATCATTATGAATTCATATAACAATAATGTCATGACTCTTGACTGGTACTAGCAGTCAGCAGCCAAGGATTTCCTGGCTCCAAAACCCATCTGGGCCAAAATACTGGGACTCGTCGAACATCTCTTCAGCATTCTTCAGCCTAGTCATGTCTCACCTAATGATGGTCAACCTATGCCCGCCCTTTCCCTCAGGTTTGGTGCGAGCTCCCAACTTCCTCGTCTCTCCGGTCGTTTCCTCGTTCCAACCGGGACCGAAAGAAAGGGACCCCTCCTCGACCCGGACCTCTCGTCCGGACCACGCGCGTACTTAGCTGGTCCGCCAGGTCTTAGGGCCGCCCTTCAGCTGGGTAAGGCGGGGTCCGCGGTCAGCCGCCGCTCCTTTGTTGGGCGATAAAGGGGAGAGAATGAGCGAGATACTTCTGGGGTAATTCGTGAGGAAAAGGAAGTCTTCAAGGGAAGAAGGAACCAGGGCCCTTTTTTGGGGAGTCCGAAGGAAGTCTTCAAGGGTATATAGTGAGAGGCTAGTTCTTTTTGCGGAGAGGTAGGCTGGGTTCACAGCGGTCGCCACATGGGGTTTGTGTTTGATCTCGAGTTTCTGGTGAATGTGGAAGATCATGAAGCATTTGGGATTAGTGGCCGGTTTAGGAAGAACATGTGAGATCTGTGAGATGGAAGCTTTTCATTTCACCTGGAAGAATGAGCAATCACAGAATCCACAGAACATGCCATGGCTTTGTGATGGCTCGATCGACTTTGGGCGATTTTAGGTGCAATCTCTTGGCCAAATGAGTGCAGCTCGGCATCCTCACATAAACAGTAGGACCGCGGAGGTGAACTTTGTCTAGGAGATGTTCCCATTGCATCCCATATATGTACAAATAATGTATAATACTTTGTCATGTTTCCCACTTTTTTCTTTAATGTTCGAACGGATCTCAAGTAGATTGGACACGCGTTTTCAATTGAGCAAGCATCGGGGACAGCTCTGGAAGCCGTTGGAGACATGGATCCGAACCCCAGACAATTGTGGGTGCGGTGGGTTCCCCCCCCAAACATTGACCACCCAGTCTGGTGTTCGAAATGCGTCTGGTGCACGGATCTTGGAGCACCCCAGTCGTGGAGCTTCGTATGTATGCTTGGCGGTCTGGTCTCGCTGTGACGAACAGGAGCACCCAGAAGCAGCCGAGTCTGGGGCCTCAGCGGACTGTCCTGGTGGCCACCTCCGGCCTCCAGAAATGCAAACTGCTAGACGAGTTCGCCCAGGGTTCGCCCCCCCAAAACCCTTGACCCGAGTTCACCAGCTCACAGCCTCCACTGGCCAGACACCCAAGCACCCGGACCCCACCCAACCCAACCACATCTTGTTTGCATGTTGTATTTTTACTTGTTGTTTCAAGGTGCGTCGAGCTGTTGTTAATTTGATTATGATTACATGCCTTTCCTTGGGTCGGATTCTGATTCAAAGTCCTCCTATTTTTCCTGGTTGCTTTCTTTCTTTTTCTGGTGAGTCTTGTATTGATGTTTTATGTTTCCTGCTTTAGAGAAGAGCTTTTTTTCGTTTTCACACTCTTTGACCCGAAGCTCCGCGGGTTTTGTTGGTAGCAGGAACCCAGATCCCAGCTTAGGCGGTTCTATGAATTTGAGTTGTCCTTTGGTTGAAGTTGATTTTGTTTGCATGTTTTTTGTTGTGTTTGATCTGTTTCCTGTGTTCTCTCTTCAATTCTGGACACTTGTGACGCCTTCGTACTCACGTGCGCTTGCAATGCACTTGCGTTTCAGCTCGTTCCGCGCGCGCGCGCGTTCCGCGAGCTGCTTTTGGGTCCTCCAAGGTCCCGAGGAGCCGGAGAAGGAGGCCGAATGCGCGAGCGGTTCCCAAGCTCTTGGTGGGTGCGACTCAGCTCCTGGACCTGGAAAAATCGGACACCTCGGAGTGAAGGGATTTGGAGTCGTAGCAATTTGTAGGTTTTGAGGGACCAAGGTCGTTTGGAATTCGATTCAAGGTGATCTATAGGTGATTCAGAGGTGATGTCTGCAGTTTGGAGCACAGGATCCAACACGACTTCTTTGGGTAAACAATCCCAGACACTGCATGGCCATATAATGCCTACATTGGGATGGTTTTGGGGGGGTCAATGCAGGCATGGCATACAGTCTGGGAATGGTTTCTCACCCTTTCACTGCACCGTCCACCGAGTTCCGGGAGTGACACGAGCCCGGCAGGTCACGGTGAACCACTTGGAGATGCAGGGAGCCACTGCAATGCCTCCCTTCCATGGAGCTACCGTGCGGCCCTCGGGGTGCCGAGTGGCAAACACGGTGGTGTGGTCATCGACTTCTCTGGATTTACACTGCAGGTGATTCCTTTTTGGGCACCCGTCCTGCGTGAACTCCCACAGTTGGAAGAAACCTAAGAAACCGAGCGAGAAAAACCGCGAACGACCCGGTGATCCTCGTGGCTGTGATCGTCCGCAGCCTTGAGGTGCACAAAGGCCTCTTTCGTGGTGATGGCTGACGCGAGAATGATGGGGCCCTCAGAGAAGATCGAAGATATCCAAGCAAAGATGCAAAAGGAGTTGGAGATGGGAGGAAGCAAAATGCCACTCGAGGAGGAAGATCAGTTAAAAGACAGATATGATATCCTAGGCATGGTAGGCCCGGATAGGCTTGGCGTTTATGAGGGTCCAACATCCCGATCACCTTGGCCCATCTTGGCCCTTGTTTCAGCGATCCAGCAACCTAAGGAGTGTGACCAACTGGGTACCGATCTTCAATCTGAGCGACCCTGAGCAGGGTTTCGATCACGCAGACACATCCGAGGCATCCGAGGCTGGGCCAAAATCCGCCAGAAGGTCTGGGGGTCACGCATGGTCACACTCTTCTTGGCAACGAGTCAGTCCCTTCTTCAGGGGCGGAGACGGTTTTTTTACCCCCAACAAGTATGTTTACAAAAGAATGGGACTGGCAGGATCTTTGATTGCAAACATCTTTCCTTTGGGAGGAGGGGGTCAAGGACTTCTTCAGAACCAACGCATTTTCAAACGATTGCTCGCAACTTTGGGGCCACGGACCCCCTCGTCAAGGTTCTAACGACGGTCCGAGGAGGGCGAAGAACGGCGCCCGGCCTTTCTTCCTGCTCAGCGTGCATGCGACGACACGGGGATCTTTTGAGGACAGGGGGCCCTTCACTTCGCCATGCCAGAGTGACTGATAAACTGTGGAATTGCATTCTTTAAGGCAATGTTTTGTTTATGATGCAGACATCAGTTCTATCATGTTCAATCAATCAATCAATCTATCTATCTATCTATCTACCTATCTACCTATCTACCTTTCTACCTTTCTACCTTATCTACCTATCAATCTATCAATCTATCTATCTACCTATCTACCTATCTACCTATCTACCTATCTACATATCTACCTATCTACCTATCTACCTATCTACCTATCTACCTATCTATCTATCTACCTATCTATCTATCTATCTATCTATCTATCTATCTATCGAGGACATGATAACATGATGCAAACGATTGTAATGACTTACAGTACATCATGTATTGACGTATGTATACATATATATATAATATACATATATTTACAGTATTCCCACGTATTCCCCAAGATTAAGGAGTATATATGTATGTAGATCTCTCATTTTGTTCACCGAATCGAGCTACTTGTTTCACTCATGAGAAGGCTCAGGAAGTATGAGGGGTCCTCTATTTTCAAGACAGCCCCCCGTGTTGCGTGGGGCGTGGCAGTGTGGTAATTCCTCTCCCACTCACGTTCCATGGGCGTGAAGTTCATCCTCTGTTCGGCATGAGCAAAAGGTTCTTCCCAGGTTCATGCCTTCCACTTCCATGTTAGTGGTTCAGAGTGCAAGTAGTATAGTTGACTTGCCTTCTTGAATCGAAGGTGCGGCATGTCTTTCAGATGAACAGACATATGAAGAGATCGAACGAAGGTCGAAATAAAGCAACATTTCCACCAAATCGTTCTCGTGGAAGGACGCGGAGGGGGATAAGGGCGGGTTACGCAAGAGACGGATGATCAAAAATACGTCATGCACATTCCTGTGGATATCCAAAGTCAACCTGTCACAGAATGCCCACTTGCTTTGTTTTGACCGGTGGATCTTCTTGACTTTCCGAACCGTGCGGGATTTGTCTATCAACAGTCTCACTCAGTAGCATGTATAGCAACGGGTCATGCGGGGTCTGCACTCCACTCACTTAACCCATCCGAAGCATCACAAGGCCCACCTGGCAAGCCCTCTCTGTTTCACCCCCGAGCCCCCAAAAGATTCCGCGCGAAAGCACGGCGTGGAAAAGGACCGGAATTGGCGTCCTGGTTCCGGGGGGGAGACGAGCGGGGAACAGGGCCTCCAAGTTTCTCCACTCCGGCGCCACCAACGGCGACCGAGTGTTGTTCTCCCTCGCCTGGCGGCAACGTGATGTTTTTTCTGTTGTCAACCACAGAGTGAAGCACCACCAAAGACACCTGTCCGGTTCTTCCAGCTGTCTTGGAGCCATGTGACCCCAGATGTTGACACCGGACACCAGTCAAGCCCTCAAAATTCATAAGCTACAAGTGTCCATAAGAGTGACATTTCTCTTGGTGACTCTTCTCTTTCGACATCGCTGTAGCTTCCACCCCCACTGGTGAGCAACGGTGAACCTGAACCCTAGAGCGGTGCCAAGCAGCTTTGGATCCGGCCCCGCGAACACCCAACCACTCTGGTTTATCTCCCCTGCGAGCAAACATCCAATCCAAGCGTAAACTGGTTAAATGGCTGTGGTGCAAAACCCAAAACCTGTGTTAAACATTGGCCAAATTTTTAAGCTGTCCCCGCTGATACGGAAATAAACAGCGTCGCCAATTTGCCGCCTCCGGGGTCTTTTGCCAGTATGATGCGTAGAGTTCGAGCCTTTGGTCGGGCTGGCACCTTGCATTGGATTCCTTGCACTGGAGGGTTTCCTTTCTTTGCATCAATGTTTCCTGTACTCCAGAGTGGGTCAGGTCGTCCAAGTGTAAAACCTGGAACCCCAAACCGGCCCAAACCCTTCTAACTTGACCTTCCTCTTGGTTCATGTTCCAACCCGGGCCTCCCGGTTTTGGGCACAGCCCAATGGATCTTGCTTCATCTCCCTCAAGCTGAAGCGCCCCGCGCAGGCTGGAAGCAGCCTGGTGAATGGGCTCCACTTTGCTTGTGAGGCTGGGAGGGGGGGAGGCACGCACTGTAGTTGAGTCCAGTCTAGTCTAAGGCGAGCTTCGTAATGAGGCGTAGTAAGTGAGGTGAAGTTCAGCGCTTCCTCGAAAAGCCTATC